CTTTGAAGGGCCCCCCGGAAGCAGGACTGCAAGGCCCCGCATCATCGACTGGCCCATTATTCTGGTAGGGGATGCCGTCGTCCCGCAATCCCCTTCATGCGAGTGCAAGGATCTCACCAGGGTCTGATTGTACCGGGGGTTAAGGGTAAGTACGGCGAACCTGCTCTGAATGGCCCGTAGGCCAGCCAGCCAACCGTGGGGTCAGGATGGTGAATTGTTTCATGCCAAGAGTCCCCAGACCTTTTTCCCCCTCCCGAATCGCTCCACGATTGGCTGTCCTAATGGTCACACACACTTAATATAAACCTATTAGCCTAAACTACAAAGTTCGCCGTACTTTTGCACACACCCTAGTACTCGAGTACCCTTATTGATCGATTAGAGGTTCAGCAAGGCATGCTCGGCCTTCCCCCGCTCTACAATTGACAATGCTTCTAACTGTGAACAGCAGCGTGCGAACCCGAGCGGAGGCAATGATATCTCCTTGTGTTAACTTATTATTTATTTATTGTTTGTTTGTTTCTCAGATGAAAAGCACGACGGGTATCAGTGGGAGCGGTGGGTACGGCGCCCGTGACGGGCATGGGGATAATAGCATCGGGACGGCTGAGTCCACGAACAGGGCAGACGGGATTACGAGGCAACAATCAATAAGGGCTGGGTGGACATTGGGGGTGTTGTAGCATCTGACCCTGATGATCGAGTCTGGCTTTCAACTCCCCACTCAGTTCCCGATGCATCGCAGCATCCTCTGTGGTCCTTGTCAAATATCCTTCAAAGACTGTTGTGAGGTCATGGACATCCGGCGATCGGAGGTTCTGTTGATAGCTGAGGGTTGCGGGGTTGACGACATACCTGCTGATCGTGCGTGGGCTGAGCCTGTATTCAATGCGTTGCCGGGTGGAGATTGGTGTGTTCGTTACGGTGGGTTAACTAAGCTGGTTGGGTATTTGTTGGCATTTGAGCCCGACGTTCTTATCCCCAACCACAAGAGGCGAGCAACAGCGGTGGATCAGGGCACGACCCTGGGCCCCCGCTATTCGCGGAATAGTACAGCAGTCGTGTTCACAAATGCCCTCCACCGAGTTGCCTCCCGACCACAGAGGATCTCATCGGTTGTTCCAGAATCCCCGCTCCAAGTCTCTACTCGTACTATAACGCCCACGTCCTCCCCACCGCCGACCCTTTAGACATCTTGAGACCGAGATGGGCACCGGCGCTGAATCTCCACCACCCCTACAGCCTCCGCGGTGGTCGTATCCAGATCATTCTTCCAATAAGCGATGGCGTCTAGGTCCGACTCCAGATGTCGAGCCCGTAGGGAAGGGTCGGAATGCGCTGTCCCCGCCGCGATGTAAAACACCAGTCATAACCAGCCGAGACGTCCCATCATCAGACGGCCGCAATATAATTGACACTGTGATAGATTCTCCACCAACCAACCAAGCTACCCAGGGTGACAGCGAGATTGACACTGAGATTGACACTGTGATAGATTCTCCACCAACCAACCAAGCTACCCAGGGCGACAGCGAGATCGACACTGAGATAGACTCTCCACCCTTACCTAGATCCCTCGTGCCGCAGAACGACAGGTCACGTCCTGCAGGGGCTAGATGCCTACCAGCTGCATCTGGACCGTGCCGGGGCGCCAAGCGGGTCCGGTTCGGGTTCCCTGTGGTCGAACAAGGAGGGTGTAAACGTGGCATGGCAGTAGTCCCAGGGCGTAGATGGACAGATGGCGAGGACCGGCGACTGCGTGAGGGGCTTGCACAGCGACCATGCATCCCCCAGATCGCGGCTACCCTCAATCGAACACCGTGTGCCGTTCGGAGTAGACTGGCGAGGCTATGGACGGTTGGGGAGGATGCGCGACTGCGTGAAGAGTACGTGCGAGGGACAGACACAAGCACCCTTGCGGATATTCTCAACAGAACACCGTGTGCTGTTAGGGGTAGATTGGCGAGGGCCCGCAGGGCCGGTACCATCGAACCCATATCGGCCATCATCAACCCTCTCCCAACCCAGATATTGAACATTTATGCATTTGGTACTGGTGACAATGCCGAGCTGGGTCTCGGGCCAGATGTTAACGCAATGGTTGTCAAGCGTCCCAGATTGAATGCACATCTCCCTGATAGGGTGGGAATAGTCGCGGTTGCAATTGGCGGTATGCACGGCCTGGCCTTATCGTACAAGGGGAAGGTGTACTCCTGGGGTGTCAATGATCATTATATACGCGAGTACGAGTACCGTACGGTAGTGTGTGAATGGAGAGGTAGATAGCAGCTGTAGTACTAGGTAAACTCCAATACATGTATTGACCGTGTGCCTCCCCATCGCCCCTTCTCTATACTAGGATGTAGCCCACTTCGGGAGTGGTCCCCTTCGGTACCCCAATCCCTGTGGCCCTAATGGCGCCCGCCTGAATCAAGGGCCCATCCAAGAGGTATTCCCAATAGGTGGCCAGCCCTGGGAGCCTAGTCGGGGACGTGGGGTACCGGGCGGTCTGGGAGTCTAGACGCCTAGCCGTTCCCTAGGTGTCTAGTTACCCACATCCATACTAGAGTCATACTTGGTGCATAAACCCCACTACCCCGCCCTCTTGGCCTCAGTGGATCATAGGCTACACCGGGCAACATCCTAAATGGGCTAGGCATCACCGGTGGTGTTTCCCTATTAAATAGAGTCTTGGGTGTGGTGGTCCAGACCGTGCATAGTCGTGTGCAATGGCGGGGGGTTGAGGGGTTCTGAGGGCCCGCTGAGCAGCCGATGCGTGGATCGGCAGGGACATCCTACTCGATTACCTACCCATCGGGGGCCCCAGCCCCATCCGTCAACCGAATAATGTGCTGGACTAGATGGATAGCATATGCTACGATATTCGACCGTTCGGCGACGTTAAGCGAACGAGTGATCGAAGGTGACCTAACGAAAACAGATGACCTAAGCGTGAGAACTCTGGTAACTCTTTCGTTCAACAACATTCTCGCGCACAACTAACCAACTACCCTCCTACCACTCTCCATACATATCCACCCCCGCCCACGCAAGTCTCCCCCTTTCTCTGCGAACTATCATGCCACAAACCTGCGGCCGTACCGCCTCTGGTAACCTTCCCGCAGGCATGCGATCGCATGAAAGAACGGAGTGGCCGTTACCATGAGGGACACGTCCTGGTTTGATTGTGGTATTTGTTTCACCTCTGCATTGAGAATGACTGATGTACGGTACATATCGCATGACACCTCCCCCCAACGCCCCTGTATGCCCACTAGAGCTTCAGTTAGGACACTTGCGGCTTTGGATTGAGAGCGCGAACGGCAAATACGAGCATAGACGACGACGTCACACAAATGTATAAATTGCGAGCACATGTATGAGTCCACAAGGGGAACAGTGAAACAAAAGGGGTTTGCAGAAATGAAAAGAGGTGGAACAACAGTAAGGACCAACAGGTTAGTGCATGAAGCCGGATAGACAAACAGACAGACAGACAGACAAACCCGACGGGTCAAGAATAGGAGGGTTGGTTAGGTAACCCGAAAACGATATATGGGAGCGATGGCGAGGCCAGAAAGAGGCAAGGACTAGGTACCGTTTGAACCATTCTGATTTGCGGATGCAGTCGAAGGTTGCTGCTTTCCACGATGTAATATGTTAGTATAATTGTTGACATCGCTTGTATCAGGAGTACATACACGTACCGCATGCGACGTCTCATGAAGCTGTAAGATGCGCTCGCACATACTAACCACTGACGCTAGATGCACTTGTTGCGTTTCCAAACTGGCCTCAATATTGGTGATGCGGGGTCCGAGTTCATCCAGAACGGCACGGACTGCGGTGCTGTGCTCATAGATGTCACCACGCGTGTTACGGATTTGGTCAGCTAGTGGGAGGCCTTGGTCTCGCATGACGAAGGTCTCCTTGGGGCTGCTCGGGGGTGGCGATGACATGGCGATTGTGCAAGGACGCGTGGTCGGCTGAAATGGGCGGATGGATGGAGGGGCAGTAGCGGTTGATATAGCAGATGCTACCCGCCCTACTGAGATCTTTGTGTACCGGGGGTTAAGGGTAAGTGGCGAGAAGGAGGAGGAATAGGGTTGGTTTTGGCGTGGACTACGCGTAGAGCAGATGAGCTTATAAACGCCAAAGCTTAGTCAGAATAGAAAGGGGGGAGGGTCTCCGATTGGTCGGGTTGGGATTATGACAAACCTTCCGTGTTGTTGTACCGTATTATTATTTTGTCGCCTAGGGTGGAAGTTGTCACAAGTGCCGCATACAGTTACTCAAAGTCGGAAGTATCCATCTTAGTACCGTAACCTCCTCGCATCTCCCATTGATATGGGATTTCTCGCACTCTCCCTGACCACCCCGATGACGCCTGTTTGCCCCACGAGCTACCCATTTTAGGATTGGCTCGATCTCTGGGATGTGTTGTTCGGCGGCGGCGGCATGGGCTAAGGCTTCCCTTGATATCAGTAGTGCCTTTGCCAAGGTGGGACGGCTATCATTGATGGGCGGGAGGGAACGGGAGCGGCTGGAGTGGTAGATTTAGGAGAAGGTACTGTACGAGTACATTTGAATTGTGCCAGCTTGGCGTGAGGCAATCTTCGCCGAGGGAGGAGGCCCAGATCACATCCCCGCAACCCCCAGTACACTGAGTACACTGAGCACACCCATAGTGAGGGGGGCAAGATGTGGGGCCTATCCAACTAGATGCTCACGGATAGCGTGTACGTGTACTCGTACTATTTGGTTTGGAAGGGGGAAGGGCTACGATATGTGATTGGGCAGACGCTTTGAGTTTCTGACTTGTTGAATTCTACTCGATCTTGCACAGACATGACGTGGCACGCGGTGGGATCAGCTATGGAGGGCGGCCACCATGAATATATAATTAGCCGCAGGCTCTATAGTCTCCACTCCAAGCTCCAGGCCCCCGCTCCAACCCATTCACCATAAAGCAGATCCATTTGACTCAACTCAACTCCAACATGTCGTCGTCGTTGTCAGATAGCAGATGGGCATCATCATCCCCGGCAAATGTCACACCAGATGTCACACCAAATGTACACGATGGACTTGTGGCGCGCCCGGTTTCCATGAATATTTGTAGGTTTGGGCCCCAATGCCGGTACGGTTCGGGATGCATGAACCGACATCCTGAAAGGAGCGGTGCCGGAGTCGTACCGCAGGCAGGAACATTACCTGATATGTACACCTCCGTTGCCGGAGTCGTACCGCAGGCGGGAACATTACCTGATATGTACACCTCCTTTGCCGGAATGCTAGTGCAGTCTGACTATGCCAGACGGGCGGAACACAGCTATTATGTAGGAGGGCTGGCGTGGGCTGAGAACGCCCGCCAGGCAGAACATAAGGCGCTACGTGATGATACCAGGAGAACGGAGGGGAAGGTGGAAGGTCTTGCGGGGCTAGTGGAAGCGATAAACACCAGGCAGGAACAGGATCGGGCGATGGAGACGAGGCATAGGGAGAGAATGGAAGAGTTTATGGAACGGCTAGATAACGCCGGGGTGAAGGCTGGTGTGTTGGAGAGGACGGTGGACGACGCTGAAGTAACACGAGAGAGTGTGCAAGAGCTTGAGCGGCGTGTGGAAGCGCTAAATGACAGGCAAGAACAGGATCGGGCGAGGGAGACGAGGCATTGGGAGAGAATGGAAGAGTTTATGGGACGGCTAGATAACGCCGGGGTGAAGGCTGGTGTGTTGGAGAGGATGGTGTACTGGTATTACCTCTGCACTAGCGGTTGGTGGCGCTGGTTACCATTGTCTCGGCGGTATGTGGCATGTGGTATTGCCATTGCGCTGCTCCTCGCCATATGCATCAACAGCTATGTACTAAAGGTGGAAGTCCAGGACACCACGGCCAGCACAGTAGGCCCAACTCCCTACAGTCTCGCAAATCAGCCTTCACCACTGCATCACATTCATAACCCGCTAAATCCAAAGATCACTCCCACGGCCAGAGCACACCTTCAACCATTAAGCCCTGTATTATCTAACGGGGATGGAGCCATAGGACACACAGGATCCTTACCTAACAGGGTTCTGCAAAGTATTCTCTATAGCCCTACACCCTTGCCACGCAGCAGGATACATGTGGTAATTACAGCCCTCGCCCTCATGCTGGGAGCACATGCATTCCGGATACCGGTACGCGAGTAGAACACACTCCCTCGTCATCTCTGCCCCTCACGTACCAGCCCATCCGCCCATTCTTCCTAGTCGGGTACGGGTTCCCGACATTTTATGCATAGAACCCGAACGCAGGGGATTCCGGAGTTTCAATTGACAATGTGCGCTGGGATACGCAAGGAGGATCATATCCGAGCTCAAATACGAGTGCGGCCGACTAATATACTCGTCACGTGAGTCTGATAAGAGAGATTCGGCGCACGATCCTTTCCTATCAGACTCACGCGACGAATATATTAGTCGGCCGCGCTTGTACTAAATCAGATTCTAGGCCCCTCCTGTGTTTGGACCCTTATCGAACAAAGGGGGTAGGGGAAAGTCTGGCGAACGTGGCGGTGCATGTGGCAGTACATGTGGCAGTGGCATTATATGAGAGTGGTTTGTGACGTAGTTATTACAGCATCATTGGCCCCAATGAACTGTGGTCTCCCCTTAGCAAGCGATATTAGAGACTTTGAAATTTCATATCTAAAGTCAAATTCTAACAAACCTGAACTCATTGGCCTGGAATTGGGTAAGTTTGACTGACATCCAGAGTGTTTTTTCAAAGTCCCTACTGACTCAAAAGGATATCATTGCTTAGTCTAAAGATGAAAGCTACTGGTACCCGCGAGGATCACTACGGTTCGGAAATACAAGGAAGAGAAATGACCTGTGATGAAAGAGTCCGTATTGTTACATTCGCGACCACACTAAGCCCCGTATGTGGTGGAAGGATATTGTACAAGCGGTGAGACTGAAACTGCTTGATGTCCAAAATATAGCTTATCAGTTAATGTATATAGGTAAATATCGATTGCCGAACATGCCAAAAGATCTATAAAAAGACAACGTTACGTGGAGGACCAGAAAACGCACCACGATCTGGCCGACCACCAACCTTTGATGAGCAAGAAAAAGGCCGATTGCGGGCCTTCATAACTCAGAATCGATTAACTCGGCATATGAGCTGGGATATGATATGGAAGGAGATGGGCTATAGGTGTTCTGCTGAGCAAATCTGTCGAGTAATGAGTAGTATGGGCTACCACAAGCGTCACCCTCGGTGGAGGTTCAAGGCTAGACCCCAGAATCAACTAAGACATGTACAGTGGGCTGAAGCTCACTTACATTGAACATTTGATGACTGGTCTAGAATTCTATTTTCTGACGAGTCCTACCTTTCTACTGTCGGTCTCAACCATCGGCCTCTGGTAAGACATTCCGCGTTAGAAGAATACCATCCCAACTGCATTGATGATTGGGAGCATTCCAGAAGAGATGGTATTATGGTTTGGGGAGTATTATGTGCTGAAAAGAAGTCAGATTTGGTCTTTGTTCCTAATAAGGTATCTATTGATTCTGCTACCTATACTCAACAGGTTCTTGATCCCTATTTGATACCCTTTTAGCATAGTATGTGGGAGGAATTAGGCTGGACACAGGTAGTAGAGGATTGGGTACCAGGGCATCAGAGATTTGCATTCAGATGCCGAGAAAGGAATAAGGTTGACAGGATGATGGATTGGCCTCCGCAATCCCCAGATCTTAATTTGATTGAAAAGATTTGGAGATAGATGAAGTGTGAGCTAGGAGAGTAATGGGGAAGGATTGAGAAGCTTGAACCACTAAAGGTAGCTCTAAATATTGTTTGGAATTCTGTATCCGTTGACCTTCTGCAGGGCCTTATTAGAAGCATGCCTGAACGGCTACAAGCTGTTATAAATGCAAATGGTGGTCCTACACGTTAGTAGTTCTATTGGATTTACTTTCTATTAAATTTGTATGATATTATATTGACTCCGATATATAACAGCTTGTTTGCACCAGTGTGCCACTACATGCACTGCCACATGCACCGCCACGTTTGCCAGACTTACCCCTGCCCCCTTCGTATGTCAACTACCCCTCTTGGATGGTGCCACCGCTGTATGCACCGCCACGTTCGCCTTACCTCCCCCTACCCCCTTCGTACCAGTACTGTACCCGGATGGGACATGGAGGCAGCGGAGGTCTTTGTACCGTGCGGAAGGTGAAGGGATGTATGCGTGGAGGCTAGGAGCAGTGGGAGCTCTTTGAGAGGTATGTCTTTCCTCCTTTAGCACAGGAGGACCCAAGGGAGGGGCCCAAGGGAGAGCGGGGGACGTTCGTAGAGGTAGAGGTGTATGGGTATGTGCAGTGATTGATAGAGGGCTCTGAGGATATGTCCGTTATTAGCTTTATATATTCCTGTCGTTTCCGTTCATTTGTTTAGAAGTGTGCAAAACTGAGATCTTTCTTCCTTGCCTAAAGGTTCTTGTTATGCGATCGTAATACCTGTGTCGTTACCTCAACCTCCATCGACTATTCCTTTGCGCAGTGAACCCCTAACTCCACTAGCACTGTACTTGTGCTTGTACCAGTATCGTACTCGTACATGTAAGAAGAAATCTTTATCAGCTTATTGGCACTTCCTCTTTGACTACGGAGATACTCGATTTGACACAGTAAATACGGTAGTACTGGTACTCCTGTAGTGCAAGTGGTAGGACTACCCTTAAATACGTTACTAAGGACGGCTGGTACTAGTATGAGTGCAACATGATGGCATAATGACAGTGCAGCCCGTGATTTAAAGTACGATTACCTAATGTTGCCACGCTGGGCCGGCTGACATTACAGCACAAGTAGGTACCCATGTGAGAACCACCGGGTCATGTATATTATATTGTTTGAAAAGGCTGGGTCCTAATAATATAAGGCTTATAAAGGAAATAACAACCTAAAGATGAAAGACCTCTGAAAAAGCAATATCTTTGCACATTTCCTCTCTACCTGATATTGATAATGTAGCATGTCTGAATCCTCCCCTGAGTGAGGCTGGAGTCCACATACACTGCTGGCCAGGTAGCCCCTCCTCTCTCTATTCCATATACTGCTCAATCAGCACCCTGTGCCTCTGAGGTACCTCGTAATGCAATATCTGGTCTCCATCCAAACTCTCCATTTGGATGTAGCAAAGCATATCGCAAGGCTAGGTAATATGGATTTAGCTCTGAAGTTCGAATCGCGCCACGTGTAACGATCCCTCCTTGGATGGCTAGCTCTTGGCGATGGGGAATGATACGTCTCTTCTTCCTCTGTTTCTTCTCTTAGCCTTACGATAGCACTAGGTCTCTGCCTACATTACCGATAGTACAGGGCCTCTGTCTTCTATCGGGAATGCCTATAGTAGGTTTTTCTCTAGCTCCTCTTCGTGAAGAGCCTTCTTTGGTGTAACGATAACACTACAATAAAGATAAAGATCGTAAAGGCGCTTTATATTCGTTAAGGTAATAAGTAGGAAAGGTACTTAGAGCAAAGCATGAAGGGCCTATCCTCCTCGGCTGTATCGGCCTCCTTATATAGTGCTCTTCCCGCCCATAGCCATGTGACCCAATGTAGTCACATGTGCGAATTCAAATCATAACAAACTAATTATGTGACCATGATTGTCACATGCTCAAAGCCTATGGCCTCATTGTAACAGGTACGGGTACTTGGTTATTGGTTTTGGTTTATGTTTTGTTTTAGGTATTGCTTTGATACTTGGTTTGTTTTAAGTATTGTTTGATACTTGGTTTCATTTTATGTTTTGCTTTAAGTATCGCTTTGATACTTGGTTTGCTTTAAGTATCGTTTGATACTTGGTTTTGTTTTATGTTTTAATTTAAGTATCGCTTTAATACTTGGTTTGCTTTAAGTATCATTTGATACTTGGTTTTGTTTTATGTTTTGTATTAAGTATCGCTTTAATACTTAATTAGCTTTACCAAAGTGTATCGATTGATACCTTTGATTAGCTTCGTTCATGCTAGACATGAACAGATTTGTGTATTCAAAGACCGCCTGTTTCTACGATAGAGAGGGCAGACCTCGACAGATAGTATTTCAATATACCTTGTTGAACGGTTACCTCTTTGTTCCTCAGTACATACTTGAAGCCTCCTTTAGCTCTCAGCTCTCGCCTCCTCTCTGGAAGAGCAGGCCACCTGCCAACTATCGTATCCATTACCGATAACGTAATTAGCACCTTGCGAACACGTTACACTCATAACGATGACATGTGCAAAGCTCATAAACCAATCATAACGCAGTAAGCAGGTCATATCGCTCGACTGAGCCATATGCGTGAACCCCATGGCCTCATAGCGAGGCCATATGTGAAGCATAAATCATATGCGCAAGGTATACCTGCAAGATACACACGCAAGGCACATTCGCCAGTCGCACGTCCTATGGCTCATATTTGAGCCAAGTGCGAAAGCATCACAAATCCCACACATAACAAATCATATGGCCCAAATGGGTCATATGTGTGAAGCAATAACATACCTATGACCCATACCCATGTAACACATGAAAGCCCCTTTCATGCCAAGCCACGTTCGTGACACCACGATAGCTGCTATTAGCATTTCGAGCATGTAGAATGATATCACACTTATCGAAGCCCCCCTCCCCTAGGCCCGCAATGGGTATGCCAACCCCACCAGTGGCGGATGCATTATATACTCGTGGATCCCTATTCCTCGGGCCATGTACCCTTGGCTGCATTGTAGCTGGCCGCTCTGGGTGCTGAGCAGGTACCTCTCCAGCACTGTGATATGTCTGCGCCAACCAGCTATATTCAGATAGTGTAACGGTTAAATGTGTAGGAGTCTCTTCATTCAAGGTATTATCAGCAGATATGCTACCTCGGTGTGTCGGATGAGCATCCATATTCATTGTGCCATGAATATATATTTCTGCATGCCTAGGTGACTGAACCTGGGATGGCCCAAAGGCCCATGGCTGTGCTATAAGGCATCTTTATTCCAAAGGGGGCTTATCTGTGACGAACGTGGCTTAGTGAGGAAAGGGTTTTTCATGTGATACATGGTTATGAGTCACAGGTATGTTATTGTTTCACACATATGACCTATTCGGGTTATATGATTAGTTATGTGTGGGATTTGTGATGCTTTCGCACA